ACACTTGGCTCTAGGTTGGCAGGAATAACTAACACTGAGCTCTCTTCAGCCAAGATCAGGATCTAGGCTAAAGAGGTTTGGTAGGAATAACCAAACACTTGGCTCTAGGTTGGCAGAAATAACCAACACTAAGTTCTCTTTAGCCGAGATCAGGATTTAGGCTGAAAAGGTTGGCTAGAAAAACCAACACTTACTTCTCTTCAGCCGAGATCAAGATCGAGGCTAAAAAGGTTTGGCAAGAATAACCAAACACGTGGCTCTAGGTTGGCAGGAATAACCAACACTGAGCTCTCTTCAGCCGAGATCAGAATCTAGGCTGAAGAGATTGGCTAGAAAAACCAACACTTATCTCTCTTCAGTCGAGATCAGGATCTAGGCTGAAGAGGTTGGCTGGAATAACCAACTTTAAGTATTCTTCAGCCGAGATAAGAATCTAGGCTGAAGCGTGGTTGGTTGGAATAACCAACTTTAAGTACTCTTCAGCTGAGATAAGGATCTAGGTTAAAGAGTGGTTGGCCGGAATAACTAACTTTAAGTACTCTTCAGCCGAGATAAGGATTTAGTGTCATGACCCAAACCCGGTACCCAAAGGCTTGGCGTTGTAACAAGATAAAAATTAAATAATTCAAATAATTTTGTAGTCGCAGCAGCGCAAGCGGACAAATTAAATAAAATAATTGGGTACTAAATGCTTATTTAAAAGGAAACAAAATATAGTCATTTGAACTTTATTGTATTACTAGAGTTCAAAAAAAAAAAAAGATAGAAATAAAAAGAATTTTAAAAAAAAACAACACAGCGATTCATTTCCATCTTGATCCCGCTAAACCTCGTTACCTGAGAGGGGTAACAGCTATAAGCACATAGCAGAGTGAAAAATATTATACTGTGAGTGTAGGGGCACAAAATAGCCATGGATAGTTATTTAAAACATTAACATAATTTGAGTTGAATACACAAATTAATTAGGTGGCAAAAAAACTAAAATAAATAACTATAACCATGGTACAGAACAGAACAAGGGTCACTAAAGTGACAATCAGAACACCGGTCAATGGATCCATGACAACTGGGGACCACAAAGTGGTTAAACAGGGGCCTATGGTTATTTAAGTCTCCCAAGGCATGGTACTCACGTGGTGGTAGTTACAGAAAATAACTGTTTACAAGGTCATTGTCAAATAATCTCTAAAATTTAAACAAACATATCCATGGGTTTTAATTTAAGCAATTAGAATTCAGAAAAATAATCCACATAATTGAAACATTAACCTAACCATAAAACATAAATTATATAAAATAAATTGTGGTAACTTAAAACATTCGTAAAATACATTATGGTAATTTAAGACATGTAGAAAACACATTATGGTAACTCAATGTATAATAAAACTCACCTTAAGATTGACTCTTACCTTTTAGTTTTGCTACTGCAATTCCCCACCTTTCGGAGCTCACTGATATACTAAGAATGTTTTTGTTTTGTTTCGAGTTCACTGATAGTCGTCACTATTTATAGGCGTCACTCCCTTGTTCACTACCTAAAATTTGAAGCCTAATGCTGCCACGTTTCTATCTCGTTGGTGATGAGAGATAATGCCACCTATGTTGTCTCTTGCTTTGTCACCTCCCTTAATGCCATCTGTCCTTTCCCTTAATTAATTCTCAAGAAACCACCAAAGGTCATTTGACCCTTGGCCCACCGAAAATCTGTTTTGTCATTTTTTTTATTTTTTTTTCAAAATTCAATTCTAAAGGTTATGATTCCTTTTATGAGTCCTAAAATTACTTATGATTATAAGTTAGGTTTACGTCTAAAAACCTCATTATCAAACTATAAAATATCACTTACCACTTTCTAAAATATTTAACGTGTGGTGTCTTACAATTTATTTCCTTACCAATTTAATTGATAAATTCCCAATTTCCTAAATTATGCATTTATTTATTATCATTATTATTTATTTATTTTTTATTTTTGTTTATTGAAATTTCTTTTTTAAAAGAAAATTCATGTGTCACATTTCTCCTCTCCTTAAAAGAAGTTTGTCCCCAAACTTGACGTACTTTGGTTTTCGAAAAGGTGTGGGTATTTGGCTCGCATTTGGCTTTCAGTTTCCCACGTTGCTTCTTCGACACGATGGTTTCTCCATAAGACTTTTACAAGAGGTATAGCCTTATTTCGAAGGACCTGATTACAGCGATCAAGAATTTGTACAGGCTGTTCTTCATAAGAAAGGTCTTCTTGAACTTCTAGGTTCTCATAATCGACGACATGCTCTGGATCTCGAAGATATCGACGAAGCATTGAAACGCGAAACACATTATGCACATTAGACAGTTCGGGTGGAATCGCAAGGCGATATGCCACAGGACCAATCCTTTCGAGTACCTCGAATGGGCCGATGTAACGTGGGTTTAACTTTCCTCGCTTCCCAAATCGGATAACCCCTTTTGTCGGTGAGATCTTGAGGAACACATGATCGCCCACTTGAAATTCTAAGTCTCGTCTCCGTGTATCTGCATAGCTTTTCTGGCAACTCTAAGTAGTGCGAATTTGCTGCTAGATGAGTTGGATTTTATCGCTTGTTATTTGCACGATCTCGGGGCCTAATAATTTTTCGTCTCCGACTTCCGTCCAACACAGAGGTGATCAACATCTCCTTCCATACAGTGCCTCCTACGGTGCCATTCCAATACTTGCATGGTAGCTATTATTATACGCGAACTCCACCAAAGGTAGATGATCATCCCAGTTACTTTTGAGGTCTAACACACGCAAATGTAACATATTTTCCAAAGTCTGGATTGTCCTTTTAGATTGCCCATCAGTTTGAGGGTGATAAGCCGTGCTAAACTTCAGAGTGGTTCCCAAAGCTTCTTGCAATTTGTTCCAGAAATGAGACACGAAGCGGGGGTCTCTATCGGATACGATTGAAATTGAGGTGACATATAAGCGAATGATTTCCTTAATGTATAGCGTGGCGAACTTAGAAAGAAAGTACATGATTCTGATTGGTAGAAAATGCGCCGACTTCGTCAATCGATCCACGATAACCCATATTGCATCATTCTTCGAGACTGATTGCGATAGCCCGACCACGAAGTCCATAGTAATGTGTTCCCACTTCCATTCAGGAATAGGAAGTGGTTGCAACATTCCTGCAGGTCTCTGATTTTTCGCTTTAACTTGTTGAGAACGCAGGCATTTAGAGACATGGCTTGCTATGTCTTTCTTCATTCCTGTCCACCAGAAGTGTTCCTTCAAATCGTGATACATCTTCGTATTGCCAAGATGGATCACAAACCTCGAGCTATAAGCTTCTACCAATATCCTCTTCTTGAGTTCTGGAAGGTCGGTTACGCAAATTCGATTCCGAAATTTTAGCATTCCATTGCTTATCGTGAAATCAGGATCGGGCGTGCTTCCTTCTTCCTCGTATTTTTTCTTCAAAAGTTTATCTTCACATTGGCAAATTCTAAATTCTTCAATCAACTCGGGTTCCATGATTATGTTGGCGAGCAGTCCATTGATCTTGCGGGGAACAAGGGTATATGCCAAACTTTTGGTCGTTTTTCGACTTAATGTGTCTACCACTACGTTAGCTTTGCCACGATGGTGATGAATCTCTATATCGTAGTCCTTCATAAGTTCTAGCCATCGTCGTTGCCTCATATTCAATTCTTTCTGTGTAAACAGATATTTGAGACTCTTGTGATCAGTGTAAATCTCACAGGTTGCCCCGTAGAGATAATGACGCCAGATCTTGAGAGCGAAGATCACCGCAGCCAATTCTAGATCATGAGTTGAGTAGTTCCTTTCGTGAGTCTTTAGTTAGCGGGAGGCATAAGCAATGACCTTCCCATTTTGCATAAGAACGCAACCCAAACCATTATATAAGGCATCGCTATAAATTACAAACCCTTCTGCTTCCGCGGGGAGTGCTAGTATAGGAGCCGTAACGAGTTTGTTTTTCAATTCTTGGAAGTAACGTTCCTGCTTGTCCGTCCATTCAAAGGGCCTGTTCTTCTGAGTTAGTTGGGTCAAGGGTGAAGCTATCTTGGAGAAATCTTGCACAAAGCACCGGTAATAGTCGGCCAGGCCCAAAAAGCTTCGAATCTCAGAAACGTTAATAGGTCGTGGCCACTCCACGATTGCTACAACCTTTTGGGGATCAACTGAGATGCCATCTTCGTTAATGACGTGACCGAGGAAGTATACACTAGTGATCCAGAATTCACATTTCTTCAACTTGGCATAAAGCCCGTGATCACGTAATGTCTGTAGAACTCTTCGCAAGTGGTGCTTATGATCTTCTGGCGATTTGGAGTATATAAGAATGTCGTCAATGAAGACAATGACGAACTCTTCAAGATAAGGTTTGAGCACTCGATTCATGAGGTCTATGAAGGCCACTGGAGCATTTGTGACGCCAAATGGCATGACGAGAAACTCATAATGCCCGTAACAAGTTCTGAAGGCAATGTTTTCGATACTTTCTGTTTTGACTTTTAGTTGATGGTAACCAGAACGCAAGTCAATTTTTCAGAATACTTGAGCACCTTGCAGTTGATCAAACAAGTCGTCAATTCGTGGTAGAGGGTATCGGTTCTTGATGGTGACTTTGTTCAGCTCCCGGTAATCGATGCATAGCCTCATTGTACCATCCTTTTTCTTTACGAATAGTACTGAACCTCCCAACGCTGAGGTACTTGGTCGGATGAAGCCTTTGTCCAGTAGTTCTTAGAGTTGGGTTTTTAGTTCTTTCAATTCTGTTATGGACATGCGGTAATGGGTCTTTGAGATTGGTTGTGCACCAGGTTGGGTTTCAATGGTGAATTCAATTTCTCGGTCAACTGGATACCAGGTAGGTCTTCAGGAAATACATCCGGGAATTCTCGAACCACAGGGATTGCATCAAGTGTAGGGGTCTCTTGTTGAGTCTCAATCACATAACAAATATAACTACAACAACCCTTTTTTAGTAGTCGTTGGGCTGTCATGAAGGATATAATACATGGAGAGGGAGAGGCTCCAGTCCTTTGAAGATAAGCTCGAGTTGGTTTGGTGACTGGAGGAAGACCTTTTTGGCTTCGCAATCGATAGAGGCACGGTGGGCAGCTAACCAATCCATTCCTAAGATCACATCGAAGGTACTAATGTAGAAGGGAATCAAATCTACATGTAAGGTTTCACCTTTTAAGGATATAGTACAAGATTTGTACACATTAGTACTAAGGGTGGAATTACTAGAAGGAAAAGACACAGACAATACATATCCTAAGGGTTCGAGTGTTGATGTCAACTTGGTAGCAAAGTGTGGTGTAACAAAAGAATGAGTTGAGCCAGAGTCAAAGAGAACATGGGCTAAGTGACCACAAACAGAAAGTGTACCTGACACGATGTTCTCTGTAATTTCTGGGTTTCCAGACACCAAGGCAAAAGCTCTTCCTTGGCGTTTTTGGTCCTTTTTCACTCCTCCAGGTACTGTGGGTTTTCGAATTGGTTTAGAGGGGCCGGTTGTAGGATTGGCGAGCTTTGGACAATTTCTCAACAAATGGCCAGCTTGGCCACATCTAAAGCATGCTCTTGTATCTCGACGGCATTGTCCCCAATGAGTCCTTCCATAGGTAGAGCAAGCTGGAATGGTGTCACCTCTAGGATTTGTAGGACCTTGATTGTTTGAACTGGTTGAACTGGTTGTGCCTGTATTTACTTTCTTGGGAGGCGCGACATCGGGCCTTCTGTTATCTCTTTCCCACAATCGCTTCCTCTGGCCTGGTTCCCCGGAACGCAAGGTTTTAATCCCTTTTTCCATAATGTATGCTCGATCTACCACCTTCGCATAGGTTGGTAGTTTCAAAACCTCTAACCTGTCTTTAATTTCAGGATCCAATCCCGCTTCAAATTTTCTGGCTTTTCGAGCTTCGATGGGGATGACGTATGTCGCGAATCGGGCCAGTTGCGTGAATTTGCTTTCATATTCGGCCACTGTCATGGGTCCTTGTCTTAAATGTATGAATTCCGATGTATTTTGTTCCCACAGCAAATCTGGAAAGTTTTTTTCATAGAATGCCTCCAAGAATCTTGCCCAAGTCACAATATCTTCTTTCTCCAGGGCAAGTAGCCACCATTCTTGTGCATCGTCCTTGAAGGTGAACGTGGCGAAAGTCACCTTCTGTCTTTCTGTGCAAGGTAGCGCGCGGAAAATTTTCTCCATATCTCTGACCCAAGCTTCTACCACCAATGGGTTTGTGCTGCCAGTAAATATGGTAGGTTTCAAGTCCTGGAACTGTTTTATAGTAGTTGACTCTTCTCGTTGTTCAGGCAATCTGCTGTTAACGTTGGTTTGTGGGGCTCATAGAAAACTAGTAACTGCTTTTTCCATGACTTGCTCCATTTGGTCAGCACTACTGACTGATGATCTAGTTCCATTTCCATCATTAGCCATCACTACAAGGTGAAAATGGTTAGTGGACTTCTTTTTGTTGTTGTTGTTGTTTTTTTTTTTTTTTTTTTTGAATCAATTATTATCGCAATATTATGTCTATGATTCATAACGATCCCACAACAACATATATATCCAATACATACATCATTTACATAATGCTGATTTTACCTATATAAGGAAAAGATACCGACACAACATACTTAGATAACGGTCAAGTGTTAGTATCTAATCCTACTGATACAAAATTGGATTAGGCTAATCACCATCAGGTCACAAAAGGATCATCTAGAAGGGGCTGTTAGGCCACCACCATGAGAACTGACTCCGGAAAATTGGCCCATAAAATAACTCCGCAAACTCACTCTGCATGAGGGATTCGAACTCCCATCCACTATGCTCTATCCCAAAGCAACTCCATACCACCTGGACTATGTAGATAGGAGCACCGTAATCATAACCCCAAAATTTTCGTCCGGTAATTCATACCGATACCTCCAAGTATGATGCACTATTAGTGAAGTCCACAGCTGAGGTATGGACAATATGCTATGGGGGAGGTGTCGTGGTGCGGATATGACTGCTAGGATATGCGTGTTCCCTCCGCTCCGCAAAGCCTAGGGGTAGAGGTGCGACCAGAACATGCAACTGCTCTAAGTCCGGAGCAAGGCCAACGACGCGGGTTGACCTTATGTATCTCTCACGAGTGCTGCCTTGGCTAAGTCTCCAAAATAAGAAATCCTCATCGGGGTCGGCCTGTAAATACACGGGTCGTCCCATGAGTCGGTCTAGTGCGGGGTGGGCTTGCTTGACAAGACTCTCTGAATCACCCCAGCCCTCTAATAAGTTTGGGAGAAGATGAACTCCTGGGGGCTCGAACCAAAACAACTCCATGAGATTGGTCATTTCCTACAACACAGGAAAACTTAGCCTAGACATTATAACATGGTTTACTTGTGTTAGACATATCACCTAATATCAAACAACACAAGGTTAATAATTTTTTTTTTGAATATATTATATATATTTTTTTTTTTTGCAATTCAAATAAAGTGAATTTCAATTAATGTAAATAAAATTAATGTGAATAATTGTACAGAAAATTTCAAAAACATATACAATTTTGTTTTATACACGTTTTTTGGAAATAATTCTCAATTCAAATAATGTGAAAATTACACAGAAAATTTCCAAACCTTATACGATTATTATATATATATTTATTTGTTTGTTTATTTATGTTTTTTTTTATAAAAAAAAAAAACCATTGCATTGATACCACTTTTTGTCACGACCCAAACCCGGTACCCAAAGGCTCGGCGCCGTAACAAGATAAAAATTAAATAATTCAAATAATTTTGTAGTCGCACCGCAAGCGGACAAATAAAATAAAATAATTGGGTACCAAATGCTTATTTAAAAGGAAACAAAACATAGTCATTTGAACTTTATTGTATTACAAGAGTTCAAAAAAAAAAATAGATAGAAATAAAAAGAATTTAAAAAAAAACAACACAGCGATTCATTTCCATCTTGATCCCGCTAAACCTCGTCACCTGAAAGGGGCAACAGCTATAAGCACATAGCAGAGTGAGAAATATTATAATGTGAGTGTAGGGGCACAAAATAGCCATGAATAATTATTTAAAACATTAACATAATTTGAGTTGAATACACAAATTAATTAGGTGGCAAAAAAACTGAAATAAATAACTATAACCACGGTACAGAACAGAACAGGGGTCACTAAAGTAACAATCAGAACAGGGGTCAATGGATCCATGACAACAGGGGACCACAAAGTGGTCAAACAGGGGCCTATGGTTATTTAAGTCCCCCAAGGCATGGGACTCCCGTGGTAGTATTTACAGAAAATAATTGTTTACAAGGTCATTGTCAAATAATCTCTAAAATTTAAACAAATATATCCATGGGTTTTAATTTAAGCAATTAGAGTTCAGAAAAATAATCCACATAATTGAAACATTAACCTAACCATAAAACATAAATTATATAAAATAAATTGTGGTAACGTAAAACATTCGTAAAATATATTATGGTAATTTAAGACATGTAAAAAACACATTATGGTAACTCAATGTATAATAAAACTCACCTTAAGATTGACTCTTAGCTTTTAGTTTTGCTATTGCAATTCCCCACCTTTCGGAGCTCACTGATATACTAAAAATGTTTTTGTTTTGTTTCGAGTTCACTGATAGTCCTCACTAGGGGTGTGCGCGGTGCGGGTCGGTGCGGTTTGAGAGAAAAATAGAAACCGTATGGCGGGTGGCGGATTGATAAAAGTGTCACTAGAATTTGTCATTTTCCTTATAAAAAACCGGCGGTTCGGTTGGCAAATAATGGCGGATTTGCCTTGGCGGTTCGGGCGGATTGGCGGTTTATAAAAAATATAATTCAAATTACAAAACTTAAATCAAATGGTATTTACAGAAAATAATTGTTTACAAGGTCATTGTCAAATAATCTCTAAAATTTAAACAAATATATCCATGGGTTTTAATTTAAGCAATTAGAGTTTAGAAAAATAATCCACATAATTGAAACATTAACCTAACTATAAAACATAAATTATATAAAATAAATTGTGGTAACGTAAAACATTCGTAAAATATATTATGGTAATTTAAGACATGTAGAAAACACATTATGATAACTCAATGTATAATAAAACTCACCTTAAGATTGACTCTTAACTTTTAGTTTTGCTATTGCAATTCCCCACCTTTCGGAGCTCACTGTTATACTAAGAATGTTTTTGTTTTGTTTCGAGTTCACTGATAGTCCTCACTATTTATAGGCATCACTCCCTTGTTCACTACCCTAGATTTGAAGCCTAATGCTGCCACGTTTCTATCTCGTTGGTGATGAGAGATAATGCCACCTATGTTGTCTCTTGCTTTGTCACCTCCCTTAATGCCATATGTCCTTTCCCTTAATTAATTCTCAAGAAACCACCAAGGGCCATTTGACCCTTGGCCCACCGAAAATCTGCTTCGTCATTTTTTTTATTTATTTTTTTCAAAATTCAATTCTAAAGGTTATGATTCATTTTATGAGTCCTAAAATTACTTATGATTATAAGTTAGGTTTACATCTAAAAACCTCACTATCAAACTATAAAATATCACTTATCACTTTCTAAAATATTTAACGTGTGATGTCTTACAATTTATTTCCTTACCAATTTAATTGATAAATTCCCAATTTCCTAAATTATGCATTTATTTATTATCATTATTATTTATTTATTTATTTATTTTTGATTTCTATTTATTGCAATTTTTTTTTTTAAAAGAAAATTCGGGTGTCACATCTAGGCTGAAGAGTGGTTGGCTGGAATAACCAACTTTAGGTACTCTTCAGCCGAGATAATGATCTAGGCTGAAGAGTGGTTGGCTGGAATAACTTTGTGTACCTTTCAACCGAAATAAGGATCTCGGCTGAAGAAACACGGCAAGACTGAACAAACAGAATATAATGTTCCGAGACCGAGATAAGAATCTCGGCAAAAACAGAAAAAGGTAAAACTGAATGCAAATTACAGTTGTAAAATAAGTGCAGACTGAACAAAGAGAAGAAGATTTTCAATCAAAATTCAAGTCAAAGTTACAAGAAGTGGGACTTTAGCCCGGTTACACATTCTTTCCAAAAGTAAAAAATAAAAAAAAATAAAAAAATAAAAAAGAGAAATTACAGGATCAAGCAAAAAGGTCGTCGAGATCCGCATCCAGATCAACTCGAAGCCCAGTTTCAGCAGGTAGCTCGGTCACATTTTCAACCAAGTCTTCCACCGGTGGCTCCATCCGAGCTGACTGACCAACAGGATCATTGGCGACAACCGGGGCATTATTGGGTTCTGGGGACTCTTTTTCTTCCTCAACTTAAAGAAATTTTTGCTGAATAGCGTTGGCATACTCCGCCATATAGCCCGGGATGAAGTGAGGAGTGGGATTCTGGAATACCTCGGTTTCTTCCCCTTGGCCGAGCTTAAGGACGGCTGCTTTCTACCCATACTTGAAGAAAATGTCTTTGGCAGCTTCGCACTGCAAGACGTATGTGGCTTCGCCCTCCTTGTAACCGCTTTCTTCCGCGTCCTCCATCTTCTTCTCAAGCTTGGTTATCTCAGCATTCTTCTTCTTCTCGACCTTAGCCAGCTCACACAGATAGCCGTCCTTCAACTCAGTCAAGGCCTTCTGTTTGTTCGTCTCCGCCGAATCTACTAGCCTAGTGAGTCGGGCGACTTCTGATTGAAGCTCGGTCATTTTTTGTTTGGCTTCATTTAGCTCGACCGTCTTACTATCAGCCTCAGCCACGGTCAGCCTTGTCATCTTGCGCAGTTCCAACACATGCTTATGTGCGATGTGGTTTTTCTACATGGCCTGCAAGAGGGTGGTAAGCAATTTTGAGTAATAATCGAGCAAACTGATATCCAAAATTGGAAAACAAAAGAAAAAGTACTCACCAGCACCATCGATTTAGTGGCCGAGCGGATGGCTTTCAGCTTGGTGAGATGGTCGTGGTGTTCCATGTTAGGGGGCAGGCACACGCTCTTAGCCAGGTTGAAAGCGAGCGTGTGGTCTTTGTCTGCCACCACTGAATCTATGTCTCTTATGGCTCGATTCCGGTATGATAATTCCGGGGCCCACTTAGAGGAGCTAGCCCGGTCAGAACACTCAAACGCTGGGCTTGGCGAAGTGATTTGTGGAAGCACGGTTTCATCCTCGTCAATAAGGCGTGGCTCGGTTGTG